GTGCAGCATTTCACATCCCACCTGGATCCCTCAGCACCGATAAGCAGCAGCAAGGCCACCCATGGGGGGATCAGCCATCTTCTCCAAGCCCCTCCACACACGTGGCCGTTCTCTGTCCTTCACTTAAAGTGCAGATACAAGGGGAAGGAGCCAAACAAGATAAAAATAAGTTAAAGGACTGCCTGACTGAACAGCACAGATAAGTGGGAGGAACAAGAGCTGCTGGAAGAGATAAAAACACAACCTGACAAAGCGTCTGGAAGCTGCGAGCTCGGCCATCTGTTTAAATGTAAGAAGGCGAGCATGTCCTAGATGGCAGGGCAGAGGCGCGGCCCAGAAAACACACACTAAGGTGTGCAATTTGTCCAAAATGCAGTGCCCCTATGAACACCAATGAGCAAAAGGGTTATGACCCAGGCCTGGGACCACTTGTGATTTAAATGTCCTGTGATTCAACCGCTGTGGCCACAGGTGAGCCCCCAGAGCCCAGGCTGCCTCCTGGCCGCTTCATGGAGCCCCCAAATCTGTAGGGTGTTTGTCTCAAGGGGCCTTGGATCCTCATGCTGTAACTTTAGCTCACAGGTTTTAATTGTTAAAAAGTAAACTCCCGTCTCTCCGTTCCAGTACAATGAGGGAGAACAATGCTTTCTATTTAAGTCAGCACCGCAAGGTTTGCTGTAGTACATGAGCAACGCTGTACTTTCTCCAACCAGAAACATAAATGACTCATGGGAGGTGAGAATTTTAAATAGTATAGCTCTGAGGGCTTGCAGACCCAGATGATGACAAAACAGCCCAGGGGACTGGCTTGTTTTCCACGAAAGTGTCAGCAGTTGGCCTCGCAGACTTGGAAATTTCTGGTAGACTTTCTGCATGGCCGAGTTTAACAGAAAAAGAATCAAAAGATGAACACTGACCCTAATCCTCCCCGACTAGAAAACAGGCTGTGCCGGTGACTATCACTGGAGACGATGGTAAGCATTTTGTCTCATTACATTTAACATGTTCAACTTATTTCAAAAGCAAACTAACAGGCCTGGAATTTGCCCTTACCATGTGCCAGCATTAAATGCATTACATGTGCTAACACCCCGAGTCCTCCCGACAGCCCGGAGGCAGGTCCAGCTGGCAGGGGGCAGAGAAGGGAGTCCCACAAGGCAGGAGGCTTGAGCAGCTGCCCCTGGGCCAGGGCTGTCATCCCTACCCTGTGAAGGGGCACACAGGACACTCTGAGTAGGAACTGGGCTGCGTTTCACAGAGGAACGCAGAAGCTCCCAAGGAAGCTCCTGTTCCTAAATATCTTATTTTATGATGCCTCAAATCCTATCATTAGAAATCAATTTCTTTGCTTGTCCTTGTTAAAATGCACATAACAACCTCAGCTCCCAGCAGCACCAACAAACACACCCATGAAAAATTGTCCATTAGATTGCTTTCCAGGTAGAAGGAAAGGAAGCCGATTCCCACCGGCTAGTGGCTCGGAACAGACTGGCTGCAGCAAAGGAAAGAAGAGGCAGGAGCCTGCCTTGTCACAGGTCACAGGTCACAGGTCACAGGTCACTTCAGAGCCTAGGACCAAAGTTTAGAGGAGAATAAGGGCCTGCAATTGCCGGGTGGGGGATTTAGACTGGAAGACAGATTACAAATAAAACTGCCTCTTTTTATCATTCCTTCATTCATTCAACAGAGATTACTGTGTGCTGACACAAAGACAAGTAAGGCACAGTGTGAGCTGA